AACACTAACCATACTAAACATGGTTAATTCTAATCCCACTGTCAAACATCCTAATTCAACTATTGAATTACCTCAATTAGATACAGATAATAACACTGTTGTCTCTTTTCTTGTCTCCTCTCCCCCCCTCCCAAGTCATCCCTCTTCTTTCTGTGCACACACACATAGTCAACGAGTAAAGATTTGCCTTCATTATCATCTTTGCACCCTTTGACCTCGGTACATCACCTCGGAGCTAACGTATCCACCTTTGATCCATCACCACTCTCTTTATGTTCGCCATCTAGATGAATTTTTTACGGCTATGAAGAACGGTGCATTGTAGGTGACTGTGGGTGCCAAGATGGTGGATTTGAGTTTACTTTATGGGCTATAATTAAGGCACGCGCAGTGGTAAGGTGGCATTGGAATGGAGTTTTGATTCTAAATGTTAAGTTGATGGGCGTTGAGTTACTTTTCATTGAAAGAATTGTGAATGAGTTTTGATTTTTTTAATTTGTATTGATGGAGATGATGATAGAATAGGTGCATGTGACGATAGCTATGGTGTTAAATGTTGTGGCGGTGGATTTGCTCTCATTTTTTTTCGGTAAATTGATAAGAATTTGAGATAAATTTATTAGATTTTGTGAATGAATTTCGATTTGTGAATTTGTTGTGGTAGAAGGGATGATAGCATGGCGCAACAGTACTGATGCTGGTGCAACTACCCTTTTTTTTTCCTCTTTAGATGTTTGGATGGTATTTTTGAGAGAGAATTCTATATGCACCAAAAGTTGCACCAAATCAATTGCAATCGTTGGATCAGTGATATGACCCATTAATCCAACGACTACAAGTGATTTGGTGTAAGTTTTGGTACACATTTTTTAAGCACATAGCATTGCTCATTTCTGAGTGTTGAAGAAGGCATTGCACAATTGCTTAACCATGAAGGGTGATGATGCACAAATTGATTTTGTACAACACCTGTCAAGTGATCAATAATAAATGCAATTATAAAGTGGAGAGAGATAATAAGCTAAATGAGACAAAGATTTATAGTGGTTCGGTCAACGTGACTTACGTCCACTTTGAAGGACTTGGATGACCTTGTGTTATATTACTTCGAAAAGTGTAGGGAGAGCAAGGAGATACAAGCTATGAGAGAGTGATAGCAATGTGTGCAATTGAGTGTGATGTCTCCCAAGTGTTGGTGGAGCTTACAATTTATAATCACCTCCTAACAGATTGAGGCGACTTATTAGTAGCTAAATGCTAATCTGGTGGAGCTGGTGCTCTCTTCTCAACGGATGAGACAATTACTACGCTCTCCAGAAGATCCAGTCAAAGGATGACATGGTGGTTGACTCTTTCCAAGGCGGCATGGATGAGTCTCTTGNTATGAAGGGCTTGGATGACCTTGTGTTATATTACTTCGAAAAGTGTAGGGAGAGCAGGGAGATACAAGCTATGAGAGGGTGATAGCAATGTGTGCAATTGAGTGTGATGTCTCCCAAGTGTTGGTAGAGCTTACAATTTATAATCGCCTCCTAACAGATTGAGGCGACTTATTAGTAGCTAAATGCTAATCTGGTGGAGCTGACGCTCTCTTCTCAACGGATGAGACAATTACTACGCTCTCCAGAAGATCCAGTCAAAGGATGACATGGTGGTTGACTCTTTCCAAGGCGGCATGGATGAGTCTCTTGAATGACCTTGCTTACTCCCTTGGTGATGTAGTTCCTCCAATCCTAATGAGTTTGATTGGACATGGACCCCTTTTGGGCTAAACACACTGAATCTCTTCAAGTTGAACTCTTTATTCAGATTAGACTTATAACATGAGTTGGACCCTTGAGCCTAATCCATCAAAAGGTATACTTTTTTAGAAAATTTGAAGGTCAGTCCCCCTAGATGGACTTGTTTAGACTTAAGTCCACCAAAGAAACTTATTTGTTATGAAGTCCGTTTTTTGTTAATTTTAGCAGACTATCATTTTCCTTTAAAAGTGAAGAAAAACTAAAAATTAAAAACTCCTAAATTTTAGGAGTTTTATTGACATTAAAATTTTTTCTCTCTTATATCTATCTATATTTATATATAAATTAGGCATATATATAGTAACATTAAAAATAAAAAATAGTAACATTCAAAAACAAAAAAAAAATTATCATTTAAACAAAAAAAATAATATCATTTTAAACACAAAAAAGTAACATTTAAACATAAACAAATAGTAACATGTTCAACAAAAATAGTAACATGTTTAACAAAAATAATAACATGTTTTACAATAATTATCTCTCTTAAATTCAAACACAAAAATAGTAATATTCAAAAAAAAAATAGTAACATTGAATATTAATATTTAAGTAAATAATAGTAGTAACATACTCAACAAAAACAGTAACATGCTCAAAATAATAGTAACATGAACAGTAACATACTCAACAAAAATAGTAACATGAATAGTAACATAAAAAAAGAAATAGTAACATAAAACATTCAATTTAACAAATCAATACTAATTTCAATAAAATACGAACATTAACATGAAAAATACAATTAGAACCCAATTTAAAAAACAAAATTAAAAAAAAAAAACTCCGGTAAAGAACGTCGCGATACAAATACCGGTAAGTAACATTAAATTTGAGTAAAAACAAAGGAAAAAAAACCAATTCTACCAAGATTTAAGCAAAAAAATACAAAGGAAAAAAATATCAGTAAGTAACATTGAATTGATATTGGTTTGAAAATTCTACCGAGATTTGAGCCATACACTTGAATATGAAATACTCTTCGCATCTCTCAAAGCTCGTCGGCCAAAAAAATCTCACTGTTCTTCCTCGTTTGTGAGCTAAAACGAGAGAGTCTGTGTTTGTGTGTGTGTGTGTTTCTTCACTTTTGAGTGCGTGAGGATGGGAATGGACAAAAGACAGAAGATAATGTTTGAATTTGAATTTGAATTGTTAATGGAATCTTTTGATTTGAAATTGAATTAATAGACCAATAATTTTGTCGTAATTCAAACATTAGATTATGATATATTCGATTTTCATAAAAAATTGAACAATCTATTACCATATATATCTCAAACATCTAACATATGACTTTCTACAATTGACCAAATTTAATACTATTAGGGGTATTTTTGAGATAAAAAAAAAAGTGGACTTAAGTCATTATACATAATTTTAAACATGGACTTAGCCCCTTATAAGTTTCCTTACCAGACTTATCTCCAAATAAGTATATCTAAGGGGACTCACTTCCAATTTTCACTACTTTTTTTTTTTTAATCACTGACTTGCCAATTATTCACTTAGTTAGACTAAAAGGAGATCTTCAAGAACTATAAACCAAGCAATTCTTAAAAATTAAGGAACAAGCACCAAACAACATACTGTTAAAAGAATATAGGAAATATCCATCATTAATATATATGTTCATAGAGGAAGACTATGGTATCGTATCAATATTTATAATTTTTTGATGTCAAGTTACACATTTTTGATATAAAAGTTACAACTGGAAAAATACTAAAAATTATAAATTTTAAAGGTACAATTATTATTTTTTAAGGTCAAGTTATACCTTATTATTGTTATTAAAAAGTAGGTATATAATGAGATCATATTAAATTATATGAAGTCTAATTTATGTAATACGTAGAATTCAAGTTATATTTATATACTGTTATACGTATAAGCAATTTAAACCAGTTTGTATACTCTTACATACAAACTAATTTAAACATAATGTATAGGAAGCAAAAATAGTGACGTAGGTATGCACAAATAATAAAATAAGAAAACTAAGATATTCAATCCGTGCCTTGTGAAACACAATTTACTTAAGATAGATTTGTTCTCTCTCAGTGCCCAAGGTTGACAAACAACTGATTCCTAAGATAGAACGGATATTACATTTTTTAAGAATCAGCACTTCAATCTTCAAGACTCCAACGAACACAAGTTGTGTTTATATTTGAGCCGAACAAGAAATATTAATGCAGCAATATACAGAGAGAGAAAAAAAAAATCTAAAATTGGAATTCATAATTGGGATGAATTGAAATGATAATAAGGCCCTTCATGCCTATTCGGATCACCTGAAGAGTTACAAGAAGCCACTCTTCGGATCGAAGAGATGCACCTTCAGTTTGAATAGAAACGAAGGAAAAGACACATTTGTATTGAACAGAAAAAAAATGAACCTCTAAAGAGCAGACTTTGGCGTCAAAATCAATTTAACGGGTAGAAAAATTAAAATTCGATTAGACTTTTAAATTTCAATTGAAATACTATCCGCGTTTGGATCCGTTTGGATTGACCTATTGCCCGCATCACATCAATTAAACTTTGTCCAAAAAGATTATATCTTTTTGACCCAACCCTAATTCCAAGCTCGATCGGGTCGTGGTAAAGGCGTGCATGATCAAGGTAGTGTAGACGCCCACTTTGCTCACGAATAATGTAATACCCTTTGGGGTCCAACCCATAAAGCTAATTAGGAGTATATTAACTCACTAAAGTATTAGTCTTCTTCCAACATGAGACAAGTCTTATTCCATTACACTTATCTCAATTTATTTCATTATTTTAAGTGGATCACTTTGAAACACAAATTTTCATTTAATATTTAATGGTTTTAAACAAATAAATATACAACGTTCATTATCTCGCGCAGGAGAACACATTTAAACTCAATCCCACCAATTTCGAGGTATGAATCCCATTTTTATTTAAGTTTCAAGTTTCTCAAATAATTTGATTAAAACCATTTTTTCAAACAATTATAACTGATCATGTGATATTCATGATCAATCATAAAGTTACCTTAATTAATTGTACCATTTAAAATGGTGTAACTTAACCTAAAAATAATAATAATTTTCCATACCATTTTGATTTTTTTTTTTTGGTGCCGTAGAATTACCCAGAAAAAAAACAATTGTGCAGTAAATATGAACTCACAGAACAGAGCAATATCTATATATACTCGGCCAATATAATATGACAAAAACAAAGGTCTGCCCTCTACAATCCTACCAAAACTGCCCTTATACTTCCAGGCAATTACAAGGGCTAGCCCTCAAGCTTCTTGCTAGAGCATGTGTGGAGGTTATAAACCTGCTTCATCATTATCTGCTTTTAGATTGCTGTTCTGAGAGACTCCCATTGTGTTGCTTCTTCTATCACTGCTGTTACTGTTATTTTGTGATGTAGAAGAGGTGATGGCAATATGGATTGTCTCGGAATCCCCAGCAGTTGAGCTGTTCATGATCTCTGGCATCAACTGAGAGATCCTCTTCATCTCCTTTCTCTTTCCCCATAACACCACGTATAATCCACACACGATTAAAATAGCTCCTAGAACACTGCTACGCAAAAACATATTACACAAAAATCATCCTATTATTATTTTAGTTTTAGGAAAGTCGTTTGACACCGTATCAAAAAATAAAAAAAAATAGGATCAATCCTAAGTAGACTGAAGTGAGTCGTAATTTGGTTCATTAGAATTAGGGACAGAGCCAAGATTTTCCCTTGAGGTGGAGCGAAAATTTGTTTTGGCTTGGGACAACACAACAATGAGTAGTTCGCTATAGGACCCCAAAAGGGTAGAAAGTCTCTCCTTGAGGTTTAGTCACTTGAGTCGGCCGCTGGCGCCCGATAGCGTCTTGACCCCGTCAAGCCAATTGCACCATTAATAATTTAAAGTAGTCTAAAATTTACAAATTTATACAATACCAAAATTTAAAGATTTATATAAAATATCACAATTTTCATAGTTAATGGTTTAACATGGTCAAATCAATAGTAGAGATGATAAAATATAATCAAAACATAATGTTAAGCATGTAATGCATAATTTCAAAAAGTTGAGAGGGCCATGGTCCCCTTGGGCCATAACAGGGCTCCGATTAGGATTGTAACTTGGTTTGTTCGAGTTCGAAGTTGTATAGTTGGCTGGTAGCTTCAAATACTACTAAGAATATGTAGTTGTATTTACTACATATCACGAATTAAAAGACAAACCAACTTACACAAGGAGTGTTATCTAATATTTAGGGTACCTAAACAAAATCTTCAAAGCCAATTTGAATTCGAATCAAGGTTTCAAAAGGAATACCTTCCCAAGTGTAACTTTTCGTCCAGTACTAAAGATCCAGCAATTGCCACAAGTACCAGCATCATAGGATTGAAAATCGACACAAACAGTGGACCTCTCATGCGCACACACCATGCAATGAAAGTGAACATTAATCCAGAACCCAAAATGCCCTACAAAACAATACAAAAAACACAAACAAATCAACATTCTGCTGCAAATTGAGCAACTTGATACTTCAAACACATGCAATTAAGGACCTAACCGAATAAGCTACTGTTAGGAGTCGGATGTTCCATCCCAGCTTCCACTTGCCCCAATCCCTCTCTGTGCAAAGAGCAAAAACCACCCCTTGGATCGATCCCATCAATGACATTAGAGCCGTGCTCGAGTAAGGACATGGATACTGCTCAGACATCTTCGCCTGCCTCATAGAATTGGATAATAAACAAAAAAAAATACAAGCTAATATGAAAACCACGGTAAAAAACAACAAAAAGTACCATTTTCATAAACTTTCCTGATTTTTCCCGGATCATTGTTCCGTTAGGTCCTTTTAACCAAATTAATCGAGGATACTGAGATGGACGAATTACATATATACAAGCTTTATCTTCTTAACTATATGCACAACATTCTGTAACAGAAAAGTTTATTTTCTTCATGTCCATAGTAATGAATGTGGTCTAAAAGGAATAGTTTCCACAGCATTTGTTAATTTTCACTAGCTCACCTGAAGAATTAACCATAAAGCATAGCAGATACAACTGCCTAAAGCCAATAGAGAACCCAACACGCGGTGGTGGGTTTCTGCCACGTGTCCACCATGATGTTGACTATTGTGTAAAAGGTCAACGTGAGTTTTCCAGATGTTAATGTCCACCCCTTTGTAAAAAGTGAGGAGCATTGCTCCACCAATGCCCATTAATGTTCCTAACACCTTTGCTTTTCCTGCTGGTGTTGCCCATCCCAGCCTCTCCAACCTGTACCCCCACAGAGACCCAATGATCATGAACACAAGGGTATAAAACATAGGCTGATTAAAAGGCCATAATATAATGTTGCAAGAGATATAGAAAGACACATTTAAATATTGGAAAATGCTATACAGACTCGTAAACTCACAGACGACACCTCGAATTTGTGAGTTTAATATGTGCATCTTTTGTGTGAGTTTTTATAGCATTACTCTTAGATACCTGAAGCTGATGGCCAATACGAAGGTAATGACAGGGATGAGATTAGTGGTTGCTGAAGCGAATGTTGCTGAAGTCAAGGCCAGGCTTTGTATGTACATGTTTTGTGCCAATGATCCTCTGCAATGGGAAAGTTATATCAAGCAGGAAAGTTTAGTAAATTTAACCATTTTACTTATTCCATAAAGTTGGCATATTTGTCAAGTTTACGACATACAGATAAATTATAAAGAGTGCCTTAATCAACATCAAATCGTGTTGCAACGAGGCATCGAGGTCATATTTGTTCAATATTCAATCATGTTTCCTTATAATCATACTAATGTTAAGGCCTCACAATCCTTTCCCCCTAAAGTTTCCTCAAGCTTCCAGAATCAGGGACTTCTTATATATATAGTTCCTGATTCTTATATATATATATATATATATATAGCTTGAACGATCCTCACAAATTACAAATACTAATTTGTTAAGAATTAATCGAATTGAAATTCAAACAAACTCCGAAGGTATTTAAATATTAGTGTTCAAAAAAATTAAATTCTAAGAACAGGATCAAGAAATTCTTTTTGTAAACCAAAAACCCGTATAAATACAATTAAAAAGGTCCTATAAATCCTTTCATCCTCGTAAAATCCCTAAATTCACCACGGATTGTAACTTTATCATGTGTAAGATTGTTCATAGTGTAAAAAGAAAAAGAATTCTCCACGAGAAAAACATTATATATACCTGTAAGTTGCTACTTTTAATTAGTCTAAGGTACCACTACCACCAGTCACCTTTTTTTTTTTAACCATCCACCTGTCACCTAAAGCAGTTCATTTTCACGGGAAATATACATTCATGGTTTCCAATTAATAAAGACTGCATTTACAGCTAGCTAACTTAGCAGTTTCTCTCTCCAATCTACATTATAAGTTATAACAAGTAATTAAGAAGATTGCTTATCTTCCATTTACCCTAATAAACCACAAAAAAATGCTTGGAAAAGCACCGTCCATGTTAGCTTTGGCCTACTCTTCCTGCAATTACCAGAACAGAAGCATCAATAACATTTCAAACCATTATTCATCGACTATATATCACTAAGGCGTAGCCGTTGTAATATAGTTTTTCTTTCTCAATTCAAAAAAAAAAAAAAAGATGGGTTGATCAAATGTGAAATCCATGCCAGCCCATGACAAGGGCCTAAATGGGATACCATCAAGCACACTTCTAAAAAACGATTTGAGTCATAACCGAACTCCAACCCCAACGAATGTCAAAAGTAAAAGTAGATCAAGTGCCGGGAGGGGGAGGAGAAGGGTCATGACCTGTGTTCAAAACTCATTGTTAGCAATAAACAAGATAATACCAGATACTTACCGAAAAAGAAAAGATAATACCAGATACTCTTTTGACACTTACACATTTTTTCACTTTTTTTTCCTTGAAAGATTATAAACGACCCAATCCATTCAGGGTATCGGGGAACTCTAAAAGGAAGTCTTTTGAATTGATTTATAGATAGAATCAATGATAGATAGACAAGAGATAGATATGCAACATATATTTCTCTTAAAAAAAAAAAAAAAAAGAGGAATAGAATAGACATCTCAGAACAAAGTGAAGAACTTTATAAAGGTTTAGAAGACCTAGAAAGTTTAACGAAGCAAGACAAACATGCACAAGTGCTAAGTAATATTTATAATCCATATTAAAATATTTTACGAGTGTAAGTGTCTATAAACAATAAAAACTATGTGGATGGGACTTGTTATAAAATATTAGAAGCAAAGGAAAATTGATAAGATTGAATTGAATGACCTTTCAATGTAGAGAGCAAGAGGAACAATAAAAGCTGCTGCAAATATAAATCTGTAGGCCACCAAAATCCTCAAGTTCATTCCATCATTGGAGGCCAGTTTGTATAGAACATTAACCCCTGCAAATGTAGCCTGAACCACCATCATTATCAACGTGGGTTTTAAACCATGTACAATGTTGCATATCTTCGCCATAGTCACCATTTTTGTTCCAAAAATCTAGTTCCCTTCAAATCCCTAAACCTATACAAATGGTATGGAGATAGAGAGAATTCTGCAGAAAAAGAACAATCAAGAGGATCAAGAATATCTCATGTTCATATCTTCTCCATAGACACCATTTTCTTTCAAAAAAAGAATACCCTTCAAAACCCTAAACCAATGCAAAAGTTACGTATAGAGAGAGAGAGAGAGAGAGAGTGAGAATTCTTGGAGGAGAAGAAAAATTAAGAAGGTCAAGAATATCTCATCTTTTCTCGGTTGTTTGTTCGTAGAAACTAAATCAGAATGACGAAGATGAAGATGTATATATGCTGAGAGAGTGAAGAGAGAACGAGTCTTTTGCCGGTGTTTTTCAAACAATAGGAGGAGAGAGAAACAGGTTAGGACTCAAATATGTATACATATGTATATACCTAGAGAGAGAGAGAGAGAGAGAGAAAGAGAGAGAGAGAGAGAGAGAGGAAGAGAGAGGGCACAGGTGTGTTGGAGCTGAAATGGGGTGGCGTATCTAGGAGGGTATTTATTGTAATTAAGGTTCCGAGGGGCTGTGCTATTTTCCAACGTCATGGCCTACGTTCATCATCGTCATCGAGAGAGAGAGATCATTCAATTCATACCAAATTTCGATTTCCTGTCGTACTGATTTTGTTTCAATCTATCTATTTAATAAATTTAACAAGTTCTTCCTTTTATTATCTAAATCAATTATAATTAATTTAAATTAATTAATATCGTATCGATTTCATATCTAGTTAATAAATTATTCCTAAAATTGTGAAAGCTACTATTTTCATAGCTAAACTTAAATCCTTCCTAGAAAATTATAAACATGGACACATATAAATGAATTGAGCTAACTAAAATTATGGTTTAAATTTAGCTTAAAATTCAAAAAGGAATTTATTTCATACATTTTTTTATCCAATTTTTGAAAATTAGTAAATGGTAAATAGTTTATCAAGATAAGTTGAATACAAGGTCATTGCAAATGCCAACTTGGCTATGGAAGTTTACAAGTTAGTATAACAATCAAGAATGAAGCTGTTAAATATGTTGCCCTTTTGTACCATGGTGGTTAAAATCGATTTTCATCTTCTTTGAAATACCTTAATAGTAAATATTTATTATTATTATTATTATTATAGATATTTGAATATATACATATATGTATATATTTATTAAATAAATAAAAATAATTTTTTGTGAATAGATTTGAAAAAATAGTGATTAGTTAGTGAGATTTTAAAAATAGTTACAAAAGACACATGGTATAATGTAATCCACCTTAGCATAATAATTAAAAAGAAAATCAAAACTCAAGGAATTTAGGAAAAGAGGAGAGAAGGCTTTCCAAGCTTTCTTTCCTCATTCATGTTTGTTTTATGAGCAACGTTATTGTGACACAATTTATTGATCTAATTCACTATGACTATTGGATTGACTATGAACCTCATCAAACATTGAAATTTGTTATTAATTCAATGATTATAATAAAATCACATTATTAGACAAAAAAAATGTTGTCCATAGAATAAGAACTTATGCTCCGGACACAATCCGTAAATCAGATTTTCATAACCTTTTTTTTTTTGAGGAATTGCACTTTTTACGCTTGATAAATTTTAAAATTTCACTTTGTACTCTTAGAGATTATATTTTTCATATTACATCATCAAAACATTAACAATATTACAATGTGACTTTTCCATTAGTTTCTGTTGTTTATTTCTAAATTAACAGAATAAACAATAAAAAGTAACAAAAATACCACATTATAATACTTTCAACGTATTATGCAATGTGAAAAATCCACTCTTAGAGAGTGCAAAGTAAAAAAAAATTAAATCTTTTAAGGTTGAAAGTGCACTTTGCCCTCTTTTTTTTTTTCAATGATTTTTTTCTCTCTGTTTTTTTTCCTTTTTCTATTTGGGCTGATAAAAGTGAATTATATGAATTACACTATTCTTTCCTTCTTTCTTTTCTGAGCTGATCAGCAAAATGAAGTATATGAATTGAACCCTTTTTTTTTGTTTTTTTTAGTAATGCTATTGAGATCTAATTTGTTGATTTAATTTACTACGGTCTTTAGATTGATTGAGGCTCTATCAAATATTGAAACTTGGTGTTGATCGAATGATTCCAATAAAACACAACATTATGTCAATATATTAAATCAAAATTTTAAATCTAAATAACATTACTCTTTTTTTTTTATTTGGGTATAAGCAAAGTGAATTAGATGAATGAATCTTAAAAAAGGAAATGTCAAGGAAAGTGTAAATAAGATTAATGCTATTTAGACTTAAAAAATTAATCTAATGATGTAATTTCATTAGAATAATTAGATCAACACCAAATTTTAATAAGGGTAGTTCAATTGGTAACAAAGATGAGTTGTAAAGTTAGACGTTCTGAATTCAAATATTGGCAACACCTTATGGCCAAGCCATGACATGAATTCCCTAGTTCCGAGGCATGACATGAATTTCCTAGTTCCGGTGTAAATGGTTTGGTTTTGACAAAAATCAGGAAAGGGATTAGTCAATGTACGCATAAATTAATTTACACACTTTTGACTATTGAACAAAAAAAATTATCAAATTTCAATAAATTAGATATCAATTGCATTGCTCGTGTAGATGGATAATATTATTTAAATTTAAAAAATTAATCTAATTTATTGACTTAATAATATAATATAATTTCATTAAAACTATTAAATCTAGCATCGAGTTTCAATATTTTTTACGGTGTTAGAGCATCTCCAAAAGGCCGGCAAAACCCTCCTCCTTAGTTATTTTAGATAACTTTTCTCCAAATTTTAGCTCCAACAGACTCGTTATCTCGCTATCTATTTTCCGTAGCCTCCATTTCACGCGCCGGTGGTAGGTAGCACCCTTCTTCCTCGCTGGCGCCAAGTTCCTCTCCACACTCTCTCTCTCTCACTGAAGCTCCACATGCCTCTCTCTGCCTCTCCATCGATTGAAATCGAAGCTACAAGCCACACCAGTTGTCGAAGAACCAGCCATCGCCAGTCACACCAGTCGTCAAAGAACCAGCCACACCAGTCCTCGAAGAACCAACGCCAACGCCAGGTTTCCCTCCTCTCTTCTTCTCTTTTCCTCTCTCTCTCTCTCTCTCTCTATATATATATACCCAGAAAACACCCCCACCCGAAAGCCCTTCCCCAAACTATAAACATCCCTTCGCAAAAGCCCCACCGAAAACTGCTAGCAACCTAGAAACCCTCTTTTCCTCAGAGATCAATCCTTGATTTTTGATCTTTGATTCAACTCAGAGATCAAGCCGAAGCTCAGGTAACAATTTGAGTTTTGATTTTTCTGATTTTTTTAGCGCAAAAACAGATTATTGGTTTTTTTTTTGAGTGATTTATTTTCATG